TCTCACTCCATACAAATTTGACCCCTTTCCGTGACAATCTAGTCAAAGGTAAAGCTAGCCTGGAGAAACCCTTCACAAACCGGCGGTAATACCCAGCTAATCCCAGAAAACTGCGGATCTCAAAAACGCTCTTAGGCTGTGCCCTATCCTGCACTGCCTCAATTTTGGATATATCAACAGACACCCCTTCCCCGGAAATCACATGGCCTAAGAACTTCACCTCCTCTAGCCAGAACTCACATTTCCTAAACTTAGCATAAAGCTTATGGGCTCTAAGTAACTCAAGCACCACTCTCAAGTGCTCCTCGTGCTCCTCCTCTGAAGGTGAATAGATAAGAATATCGTCTACAAAGACTACTACAAAACGATCCAAGAATTCCCGGAATATCCATTTTATCAAGTCCATAAAGACTGCAGGTGCATTGCTGAGCCCAAATGGCATCACCAGAAACTCATAGTGGCCATACCGCGTACGGAATGCCGTCTTCGGAATATCCTCCTCCCTGACTCTCAACTGGTGGTAACCCAATCTCAAATCTATCTTAGAGAAACAACGAGAACCCTTCAACTGATCGAACAGATCATCTATACGAGGCATAGGGTACTTATTCTTAACCGTAGCCCGATTTAACTTCCGGTAATCTATACAGAGTCTCAAAGCACCACCTTTCTTTTTAGCAAAGAGGGCTGGTGCTCCCCACGGTGAAACACTAGGACAAATATAGCCCTTATCTAGCAACTTCTGGAGCTGAATCTTCAACTCAACTAACTCGGCTGGGGCAAAACGATAAGGTACCATAGAAATCGGCGCCGTACCGAGCACTAGATCAATAGAGAACTCAATCTCTAGATGCGGTGGCAGACTAACTAGATCATCGGGAAAGACATTCGAGTACTCACAAACTACCCTTGGCAACACAATCTGGGTCTCATCACACTCACCACTCTCAACGCTGGCAAGCAGACCACTAAGCTCACCCCGCCCTCGCGGATCATACCCCGGTGGCAAAACAATACCAACCCGGTCTCCCAGAAAATGAAAACACTCCCCGCTCAAGGTACATAGCGTGACCCTCTGGCGGTAGCAATCGATAATAGCCCGGTATGACGATAACCAGTCTATATCCAAAATTTCATCAAAACCCGACATAGCCATAACTACAAAAGAAAATGAGCCGAAGCTATTACACTCTCGTCCTAATTCTTAGACAACAATAATTCACTCCACGTAAACACATAATTACATAAACACTTACGAATTTCATTTCTGGATAATGACAGTCCAGTGGCGTTGCTAGAGTTCCGGTTAGAAACAACATTGATCAAGTGCTTTTCCAACAAGATTCACAGAAACCCAAGGATCCAATCAATATCCTAGAAACCAAATCCCATACCCAAGTAGTCACGTAAACATGCTATCACATAAGCATATAACACTACATCTAAGTCTCTAACAAGCGAGACAAACCCATTGTGATACTAATCACATCCCACGTACCCAAAGTATTCAAACCCGGTACGCTTTGATACCAAGTTATAACGCCCACAAAATAAACCCATAATATATAACAGTAGCATGCATTGATAAAACAAAACCAATCATTATCTCATTCATCAGAGTATCATTATTGAAGGATATTACATGTAACATCAAAATAAATGCCCTATTGGCTTACATCTTTCCAAGCCAACACTTGGACACAAAATGTGAGTACTAACTCAACTACAAATTAAGCCCTTGGCTTGAGTTTACATGTAAAACACTTGGACACAAAAGAATGAGTACTAACTCAATTACAAATTTAGCCCTTGGCTTGAATGTTTACATGTAATCTCAAATAAAAACAAATAACTAAAGACAAGTCTTCAAAATCCAAAAATCGAATTCTCCCAAGCTAAGTCCTTGGAGGTAGCATGTCACCTGGACCTAAAAATGATGTTCCCATATAGGGTGAGCCACAGCCCAATAGAAATATACTAAACCAAATATAAGCATTGAATAAAGCAATAGCATTCAATAGATGGTTAACCAAGATAATCAATTACATCATTATACAGTCTCATGACACTAATGTCTATGACACGTTTCATTTTCCATTATTATCAATATGGCTCAGAACCTGGCCAAACTATAATAGTGAGACTGCATCTCTCATTAACAATATTTCCAATTCAATAAAACAAATGAGACTAAAGCTCATACCAAAACACTTCCATACTTCCCGATTGATACACATTTTAGTGCTGTATCAACAACATGTAAAAACACTTCCAATATCAATAAGCACACATATAGTGGTGCTAATAGAGTCCATCCCCTATCTCCTCCCAAACAAAATCCGGTTTGAAGGTCCATCCCCTATTTTCCCCTAAACCGTGGAGTACATCTCCTATCTCCTCCCAAACAAAAATGCATATACAATGTATTAAACACTTGTCATATACAACACACAATCAATACATGTATTTTCTGTATTAATTCAGCAGTCTAAATCAGTGACTTAACCAATGTGATTAGTTTCAGTTTTCCCTAATCCACATGCAATGTCTACAACAATCACGACTATCCTCAAGCGATAGCCCAAAACAGTTATTTCTAAACAGGAAATAAATGTATCAACTAACATAATTCCAACATTTTCATAGGTGAGTGATTAAACAAATCAACTACACCATTTAATTAATAAATTCCTCAATTTCATGAACTCAACTAAATTCTCCAATTTTCCTATACATTGTATATATAGGTGCATTCATCAATGATTAGTCACCATCTAATTGATGTCTATCTATAGACGGAGTATTGAAAAAGAACAAAGAAATCCCTACCTCAAATGGAGAAGATGAAGGCCAAAAACCAAAGTGCTCCAAATCGCCAAATTTTCAGATTAAAATGAAGATCAAGGGAAGCTCCACACTCAATACAAAGGAACTAGGGTAGAAGATCACTAGAACTAGATGTATTTATAGAGAGAAGATGTAGTCTAGAGAGAGAAACTCTCAAGTTATTCATTCAATGAACTTCATTAAATTGATTAATGTATCTCATACATTCATGATATATAATGCATCTTCTATATTAATGAATTCATTAGATAGATTAATGTATCTTACATATTCATAATAGATACATAATGCATCTCTAAGATTCATTCATAATAAATCCATCACATTCAATGTATTAGCATTAGTCTTCTATACATTGTATATATAGGTGCATTCATCAATGATTAGTCACCATCTAATTGATGTACATGTATTTTACTAATGAGATGAATCTAGTATAATCATGCATAAGCTTTGAAAAGTTAGAGAGAGAGAATGGCCGGAAAAAGTGATCCAAAAAGCTGTTTTTCGGACTGATATACAAACAGGTCCGCTCGAGCGTCAAGCCCAAAATCTGGACATTAACCCTTGGTTTCCAAACACAACCAACCTGTTTCAAACCTGCCCAACACGACCCAAGACTCATATACAAAGAGTAAAGGACAAAAACAGGAATAAGACAACAACACATCCACGGAACCGAGTCCGGAATACAAACAATGAAGGAAAAATCGGGATCGCTATATTTTCTGTCCCAAATCTTCTTGTCTCTATGTTCCAAAACATTCATAGTTTGATTATCTTGAGATTTCTATACTTCAAAATTCTCACATCATCTAATAATTGTATGTTTTTTGAGACAAGCCTCATAGTAACAATATAGCTTGTTTTGCTATAGCCATTAGTGCATGTTAATCAAAATGACAAATCACATTAATACTTCTTGCTTTGTATCTCATGTCAATTTTGGTCTATGGTGTTTAAGTGTAACAAATTTGTTGTTTAATTTTTCATATTTTTATTTAATTACTTCAATCGATAATGGCCGCTAGGCATTCAAATATAAAATTGACTTGTTTGGCCATTTCACACAAGGCATAGGGGGAAATAAATTTTTTCACCATCACCAAAAATTGACTTGTACCTTATTTTGTAACGAAAGTTATGACTTACAATTCTTGTACTTTGAAAATGAGAGCACGCTATGACTAGGAGAGTAAATAACATCTTTATCTTAAACCTGAGGAAGTGAATTTATGCTAAAAATTTGTATATGAACAAGCAGAGAGCTAATTCATACATCAATAGTTAGGAAAAGGATGGATGAAAATTAGCCCAATTTTACATACAGAAACAAAATATAGAAAAAGATTAATTTTTCATTCTCTGTGAGACAGACAACAAGCAGTTCCACTTTATGCCATTGTTTCCAACTCTTGGTTTGCCTTTAACCGTTGGCCACATTTGCAATCTTCTTGAGAAGCATAATTCCATCTCCGAGTACTATCTGCACAAGGAACAAGATTAAATATAATTCCTATCTTAACGCGTACATATATGGAGTTATTAAAGTTAAAGAGAAAATAATACATTCAAAAAGCTGTGGACAATCTTACGTAAAAAGCATGACCATATTTTTGGTACAAAGCCCAACCAACATGAATGTACAGATCATGTCAAAGATAATTTCACAATCGAAGTGGGCCATATGTGTGGGTAGAATACCAAATATCAGCACAACAGTACATTGATATATTCAATAGATATTTTTGTTGAGCATACAATAATTTAAAACAAGTTTTCCCACAAGCAAGATATTATTTTAAAACTTGGTGCTGAAATAAAAAAGGATATCCCTTTTTTTAAATAAAGGTAAATAAAATTGGCTTCAAATTTAAAGGCCCAATCAAATGCAAGTGTGTGAAAAGTAGGCATTAAAGGAACACAAACAGATGTTGGGAAAGAATAAGTTCATGAAAACCAAGTCACAGGCTAGGCAATAGTTGTTATTAAGAAAACAATGTTCTACCCTTGTCAAGTAGAGTTGAAGTTGGTAGATTTGGAGCTTCTTCAATTCTCTTTCAATTTCTACCATCTTGTTAAGAGCGCCCTCTTTTAGAATTGGTTTCCCATGAACCACGTCCTTGTTATTGTTTGTGGTATCAAGTTTAGCAGCATTAGTTTGAAAATCCCAGATCGTTTGGGACAAATCATAGAGTTGTTGGTTACGGGGATTGGAGGGCAATTTAGCTTTGATGGCATTGGTCTTGTATTTGTTCTTCAACTTGCGGACTTTGTCGGACAATTGGGTCTTGGTATCATTAACATGAATAGAATCCTTGATGAAAAGGAAAAAAGCATTCATGTAGGTAGAGGGGTCCACACCTTTGGTGGTAGTGTAGTCCATAATACCCTGCAGAATCACAATCTCATCATCAACTGTCACGACCCCAAACCGCCCCTAGTAGTTTGGTGCCGTGATGGCCAGTAATTCGAGATTACCGAAGGCCAACTTTCAAAAGTTTAACACCATCAGAGTATAATAAACGGGGCTCACAAATGCGGAAGCGATAAATCAAAATACAAGTGGTCCATAAGAGCAGTGCATAGATTAAATGTAATGGCATACATCTTTACATGACTTTACAAACTTGAATACAACAAAGCAAAATACGTATTACATCTTGATCAAAAGGCTTCTCGAGCTGACATATACAAAATGACAATGAATACAAGCCAAGAAGCATGATTTTCAAGATTCGCCGACATAAAAGAAATAACATCGCCGACGTGAATACAAAACAAAGCCGACAAAATCATGGATCCAAAACAAGCTTTCAAAAACACATTCTAGGCGCCGCCGACGTCCTGCTCATCACCTACATATATATAGAGAGGGTGAGCTTGGATACTCAGTGAATGATACATGTAATAAAGGTTTTGCATGAATATAGCCGAAGTCTTTCAAAACAAAACATGCCAGAACCATACGAATATTAGCCTAGATCTTTTCAAAGCAAAACACATCGAAACTTTATCAAAACAAGAGATGAACCGTATTCGTATATCAAGTCTTACAAGTCTCAAGGGATGCTCACTGGCATCGGCAAAACACAAATCAAGCTTTCCGAACAAACAAGTCCACGCGGTAAACCGTCAGTGGCAAAACAAGGACTACACGATCCGTAATCGATTAGCCAAAGGTACTGCGAACGTTTATAGTCCTCCAGCACAAAGGACTTGTGTTACTTAAGCCCGTAGCTCTTTTTAACACGATGGTCTTGTGTTACTTAGGCCCGTAGCCCGTTTTAACACGGTAGTCTTGTGTTACTTAGGCTCGTAGCCCGCTTTAACACGATAGTCTTTCCAAGAAAGGACCGTATCCTTTTATACTTAGTGTTGCGAAAGTTTAGAGTCCTCCAGCACAAGGGACTTTTATACTTGGTACTGTGAAAGTTTAGAGTCCTCCAGTACAAGGGACTTTTCAAGAATGACATCAGAACAAAGCTTATACTTGATACATCAAAACAGAGCTATTCATTCATGCTTAACAAATACTTTCGTCAAAACAAAGCAAAACAAGATTTATCAAAACAGTATAACATAGCTTTATTAAAAATACTACTCACCTAGTTCTTCAGGTGTAGGCTCAAAGCAAAGATCAAGGTCCTACAATCACATGGCAATCACATTCTCAAAACAAGCTTTATTCATGCAAATGATCTCGACATTCTCACCAAATCCAAGTCAATAACAAAGCAAAACATGCTAGGAGTTTAAACACTGCTTTCGTCTCATGAACACAAACTGGGTACTAATCAGGTCTTTGCCGAGGTATGGTCCCGATGGCCTCATTCAAAACAAAGTCGGGAAAAACCTGGGTTTCCCTTTGAAGAACATGAAGAATATGATCATGAGGAAGATGAATGCAAGATCATGACTTGTGACAAAAATCTAAGATTTCATGCCATGAGTTCAAAACATGGACCTGGGTACCCATACAAGAAGATCATGCAAGAACAAACACAAAAACATGGTTTTTGCTCCAAACTTTCGGATCAAAACGAGACTTTCTTCAAGAACACATGAATACTATCTTTCTCTTCCGAAACCAACTTCAAATCGATGCATGACATGCAAAACAAATTCGATCATGCAATGCAGCAAGATGATCAATAACAACAATCAAAGTAGATTAAGATTCTAACCTCAAAACTCGAATCCAATGGTTCAAACCTCGAAGATCAAGCTTGGAAGATCTATTCTCACTCAAGAACTTCTCCTCTTTTCTCTAGAGCTTCTCTCTCTAAAGGCAAAGATTTGAGACAAAATGATTTGTTTCTAGGTCCGCCGGCTGTCTTAACAATTAGCTCGGACACGTGGCGTTACCGGGTTGGTTCAACTCAAAAGCTGATTGATTGATAAGGCAAGTCTATGACAAAGCGTACACAGCAAGCTAAGGCAAGACACATCGGCATGTAATGACATCGGCTAAAGTCAAAGCTTCGGCAACAGGGTAACAAAGACATCGGCTAGGGAGGACGACACTTGACTAAGCTGTGCCACACCTTGGCCGGGGTGTGCCACACCTCGGTCTAGGCCATACCTACCCAAGGACAAGAATCACTAAGTGCAAAACAACTCGGCAAACATGCCCGAGGTGAAGATGGGGGCCAACCAAGTGGTTCCAAAGCATTCTAAGTACAAGGGTTCAGAGGTGAACTAAGCTCAAGATGACCTCGGCTACACACCAAACAAGGAACAAAATCATGCAAGCAATATTTAAACAAAACAAGGCAAGGCAAAACTTGCAATTCAACATAACAAGACAAGATCATGCATGAATGTATGCAAGTATGACAAGAGTAAGGTGAGGGTCGCTACAGTCTACCCCCCTTAAAGAAGTTTGGTCCCCAAACTTAAATTACCTTGCTCTATAAACAACTCCGGATAACGGATTCTCACATCCTCTTCCTTTTCCCACGTGGCTTCTGTGCCATAATGCCCCTTCCATTCGACCTTTACCATATAATCCAACCTTCACCCACAGGCATTCAATCAGTTTATCAGATAAGCATTTAGCCACATGGTAAGCATACTGTCATGGCAACACTCACACGCATGCGGGATGCTAAAGCAAAAATACTTACATCGTACTCCGTGCCAAAATAGTAAACTAGTTAGCAAATATGCATGTCCTAGTTCATGTTAAAATGACTAATGCATCGCATGCAAAAATGTAATTAGAATAGGCTCGGTTAACCTAAATATGGCATATGAAATGCAACCAATTGATTCATGTATTCAATTTGAAATTTGAAAATACGAATGTTGTTAGCATGATGTACCGAGCCCAATGCATGCAATACAAATGCATGGATGCAAGCATGCATAGCATGAGGTATGCTAATTTCAAAAATGCCCTAGTCTACCATCATAAGCAGGTAAATAAAAGGGAAGAAAGAAATGGGGATTGGAAGACATACACACACTCGCCCACACTTATTACATATTTTCCCTCACTCAGAGGGTCCAAATGAATATTACAGTCCCAAAATAATAAATACAAATAAATATTACAGTCCCAAATAATAAACAAATAAAATTATTACAGAATTTCTGATTAATTAAAAAAGAAAGAATGCAAAAGAAAGAAGAGGGTGGCCGCAGCCTCTGCCTCGGGATGCGCGAATGATGCGTGCTCGAAACTCGGCTCGCCAGAAAAACCCGTACCATATCTCTGCCACCTCTGTTTACACTGCCCTGTCTTTCTGAAAATCGCCAAAACCCTAGGACAGATTCCTTGAATGTTGCAGAGTACCACCGGCTTAACAGAATTCCCATCGGCAGTCCAGGATTTCCATCGGCACTGTTTTGATTTATCGGCCATTCAAAGATTGCCGGCCGGCATTGAATTCTGCCGGTCGGCAGAAACTTCCTGCAGAAGACAGTTTTGACAGCAAACAGAGAACAGACAGTGCATGGCATGGGGTTTTCAGGCACATGTGAGCATGGTCATGCTTCCTATCATGCTTTGAACTCAAGGAAGTATGACCTTCGATCCTCGAGCCATCAATGGTACATGATAACCCATGGGATCAAATTTGCCACTTAATGTAAAGATGCATGCAACATACAAATGAGATCCAAAGCCTTATCATGTCGAAGTCAAAGACCCCGGCGACCGAGAGTTAAGGCGTGTTTCATCACTTGTAGTATGAACACTCCTTAATACTCACACTTGGTTTGACACCCCAAACCAAGCAATGCAATGCATGTTGTGCAAACATGGTTCAAATGCAACATGATGCCAATTATTCAAGTCATGGCAAATGTTATGGAACTATCATGACAAATATGCAATGTTAAGCATGCAAGGTGCAAATGTGATGCAAACATGGACCAATTTGCCATAAAGTTAGCATGGGACTACACATTAATGAAACAATTATGCAACAAACATGAGACAAGCATGCAAGAGGGCCTTAAAGTGATAAAGGTGCCGGCCTTAATTCACCTCAAAACAGCACCAAAAGTGCTCAAAATGATGGACAAACTCTCATGTCAACATGCAAGCCAATAGACCCAAGGCTAAGGCACCAAAAGGGCCACTTCATTTCCAACAACAAGACCAAATCATGGCATGGTTTAGACAAGTAAAAACAGAGTTTTTGCAGACAAAATAGGACTTCAAACCTTCCTAATATGGCAGCCAAAATGACTCCGAAGGAGTGTATGCACCAAGGCTCAAATGTAGGCATAAAAGGGTACACCCTCAAGGCACAAAAGGAACGACGAATGCAAGCATGCTAGCATGATTTAGGGACTGAAATAACATGGCAAACAACTTCAACTCATTAAAGTGGACCAACTAAGGCATGCTTGTGACTCATGTACTTGAGGGCTCACAAGCCAAAATGCATAGCAACCATATCAAACATGTCAAACATGACCAAATGGATAACCAACAGACTTTAAGCATGGAAAAATGGTGCTAACATCTTCATGGAACCAAGCCAACACATGCAAAAATCATGGTTTAAACACAAGGGACATTTCTAGGCCAAATGGAGCAATACAAAGCAAGTACTTTAAGCATGCAAAGAGAAATAAATCCGGCCAAAAACAGAGGTCACACATGACCTAAAACACCCAAAAAACTCTGAAATAAGGCAAAAGAACAAACAAGCATGTACGTTACCCTTTTGGGCCAAAACTCAAGGAAACAAGACAATGAAGGGAGAGGGGTGTCCCTCCCCTATGCAAGACTTCAAACCATCTTCCTTGCCACTAAAAATACACTGATTTTCAGTGGTGAAGAGATCAAAACACTGAAGTAAACAAAGCCTTACCAAAGAGGCAACAAAAGGGGCCAAACAAGGCCTAATAGGGTGAGTTTGCACTCAAAACACAAAACAACCTTAATGAAAATTCTAAAGCATGAAAAGATAAGCCTTTTTTTATGTTATACACAAAAGCTAAATCAACAAGCAAGATAGGTAAAAGACTATTGCAAGTTTGGGAAATATAAAGCAAAATGCTCACCCTTGAAGAACCTTTGAAGAACAAATGGTCCAGCCCTCTTCTTTTGATCAAAATCAGTCCAAAAACTCAAGAATCAACCCCCCAAGTCCCTCAATCTCGGAGCTAGGTGTAATAGTGTGTGTAATGGTGCAAAAGTAAGGTAAAAACACACTTTTGGGCCAAAAATCACACACAAAGGAGGAGAGAGAGGGAGATATAGAGATAGGATATATCTATATCTCTAAGCTCTGGTTTTTGGTTCCAAGTCTCTAACCTAGATCAAAGAGGAGAGCCTTCCTCTTATAGGACTCCCTCTTGCAAAGCTTATACAACAAGCTTGCTTAGAGGGAGATCCCTCCATACACGTGTATGTAGGGAGGCAGAGTTGGTGCCAGCAACTATCACAGCTGGCACAAAATATCTCCATAAAGTAGATGAACAGTGGTCGGCTAACACAATGAAGGAGTAAGAAATTGTTTTCTCGTGGATCAACTATACCCTCCTTAAGTAGAGTTGAAGTTGGTAGATTTGGAGCTTCTTCCATTCTCTTTCAATTTCTGCCATCTTGTTAAGAGCGCCGTCTTTTAGAATTGGTTTCCCATGAACCATATCCTTGTTATTGTTAGTGGTATCAAGTTTAGCAGCATTAGTTTGAAAATCCCAGATCGTTTGGGACAAATCATAGAGTTATTAGTCATGGGGGTTGGAGGGCAATTTAGCTTTGATGGCATTGGTCTTGTATTTGTTCTTCAACTTGCGGACTTTGTCGGACAATTGGGTCTTGGTATCATTAACATGAATAGAATCCTTGATGAAAAGGAAAAAAGCATTCATGTAGGTAGAGGGGTCCACACCTTTGGTGGTAGTGTAGTCCATAATACCCTGCAGAATCACAATCTCATCATCAACACTCCACAGCCTCTGAAAAAACTCATTCTTCGAAGCAAAAGTAGTACAAGTAGTAGCAATAGTAGTCTTGTTCAACGTGTCCTCAACCTCATCCGCATTCACCTTCACTTTCACAGGGCATTTGAGGGTGGGTTTAGATATGGGCTGCTCACTCAGTACTGGGTTTCTCACTCTATGGAAATGGCACAAAGTAGAATCTTAGCACGTTATCAACCTTGAACCTTGTACTGCAACATTTTTAACAATTTAATTTAATTTGAGTCATCTCTTTAATATTGGAACGATTACTCGATGTTTGGTTGGTAATTTTCTTACTTCTTCAATGTGTTGAAATACAATGGCTTGATCTTCTTGAATTTGATGGAACAGATACATTGTTTTCCTAGTAACAACTGTTGCCTATCCTATTACTTGGTTTTCATCAACTTTTTGTTTCCCATCTTCTGTTTGGGTTCCATTAATGCCTACTTTTCATACACTTGAATTTGATTGGGCCTTTAAATTTGAAGCCAATTATATTTACCTTAATTAAAAATAGGGATATCTTTTTTTATTTCAGCATCGAGTTTTAAAATAATAGCTTGCTTGTGGGAAAAAACCTGTTTTAAATATCTATTGAATGTATCAATGTATTATTGTGCTAATATTTGGTCTTCTACCCACACTTATGGCCCACTTCAATTGTTAAGTTATCTTTGACAGGATCTATACATTCATGTTGGCTGGGCTTTGTACCAAAAATATGGTCATGCTTTTTAGGTAAGATTGTCCAGAGCTTTTTGAATATATTATATTCTCTCTAACTAGCAATAAGGTACCTATGCTTGTATATGTATTATTTTGGTTTAATAACTCCATATATGTATGCGTTTATATAGGAATTATATTTAATCTTGTTCCATATATAGATTGTACTCGGAGATGGATTTCTGTTTCTCAAGAAGATTGCAAATGTGGCCAACGATTAAAGGAAAACTGAGAGTTGGAAACAGTGGCATAAAGCGGAACTGCTTTTTGTCAGTCTCGTGGAGAATGAAAAGTTAATCTTTCTCTATATTTTTGTTCATGTATGTAAATTTGGGCTAATTTGCATCCATCATTTTTCTAACTACTGATGTATGAATTAGCTCTCTGGTTGTTAATATAAAAAATTTTAGCATAAATTCGGTTCCTTAGGTTGAAGATAAAGATGTTATTTACTCTCTTAGTCATAGTGTGCTCTCATTTTCAAAGTACAAGAATTGTAAGTCGTAACTATTAAAATTAACTTTATATTATTTTGCTACAAAATAAGCTACAAGTCAATTTTCGGTGATGGTGAAAAAAATTATTTCCTCTTATGCCTTGTGTGAAATGGCCAAACAAGTCAATTTTATAGTAGAATGTCTGGCGGCCATTGTCGATTGAAGTAATTAAATACAAATATGCAAAATTAAACAACAAATTTGTTACACTTAAAAACCATGGACCAAAATTGACATGAGATACAAAGCAAGGAGTATTAATATGATTTGTCATTTTGATGAACATGCACTAATGGCTATAGCAAAACAAGCTAAATTGTTACTATGAGGCTTGTCTCAAAGAACGTACAATTATTAGATGATGTGAGAATTTTGAAATATAGAAATCTCAAGATATAATCAAACTATGAATGTTTTGGAGCATAGCGACGAGAATATTTGAGACAGAAAATCACATACTCAAAAATAAAATGAGCATATTGTTATGTACAAAACATAAATACCAAATATTCATAATCAGTTAATTTACCAAACCCTAACCAAAAACAAAACAATTAACCAAAACCATCCTTCATTTGTGCATCAATCATTAACAAACCAAAAGCCATAATATACCTTACTAGAAGTAAAACCCGCCCTAATGTCTTAACAACACAATAAAATACTGCATATCCATAACCAATTAAGTACTAATCAAACTCCTTCCTACCCAAACAAAAAAAACTTGTTCTCTTATTCTTGTTCTTCTATATCAATCAAGATCAAACCAAAAACCATAAGTTATCTTACTTTACGGATTAGAGAAATAGCTTTGTTTGCTCGTGGATCAATTCTACCGTCCTCACGTAGAGTTGAAGTTGGTAGATTTAGAGCTTCTTCAATTCTCTTTCAATTTCTGCCATCTTGTTAAGAGCACCCTCTTTTAGAATTGGTTTCCCATGAACCACGTCCTTTTTATTGTTAGTGGTATCAAGTTTAGCAGCATTAGTTTGAAAATCCCAAATCTTTTGGAAGAAATCAAAGAGTTATTGGTCATAAGGGTTGGAGGGCAATTTAGCTTTGGTGGCATTGGTCGATTATTATCAAAGAAAAGTAATGCTTTTATATTTGTTGATCAAAGAAAATGACTGCTTTTAGTGTTTGCTTTTGTATTTTCAAACAACACATACAAAAGGGCTAACGTACAAAAGCAATCCTACCATCAGGGTTTATGTTTTTTTTTAATTTATAGTAATGCTACACAAACAAAACCTTTTTTACAAACTTAGTTTACTAATTGATGTGGCAGATGAGTTATTCCCATAATTTAATTTCAAGGGTCCCATTTCAATACCAAGGCTTTTTTATTGTGTGCCATACCAATTTTTGTAAAGAAATTTGGTAAAATTTTTTTGTTTGCTATTAAAATCTCTTTGAAGTAGATATGACATGTGTTTGTTATTTTTAAATGGTTCATTTTCTTTTACATTTCTGGTTTATGTTCTTAAGTCTATATTTGTTGCATATATTTTTAAACGTCATAGACTGTACATCAAATTCTTTGGTAATTAATGATGACCCATAATTAAAGATTTTTTTTTTGGATTGGAGTTGGATGATACTTTATGATGAAGCCTTTTCCGTTTCCTTGTTATGTACCTTAAAGAGATTCTGTTTTTAGTATGATTTTGCCAGTATGTTTATGAATCTAATTTTTTTTTTTTTTTTTTTGTATGGGTAGGAAGGAGTTTTATTAGTACTTAATAAGTTATGGATATGCAATATTTTTGTGTCATTAAGACATTAGGCTGGGTTTTACTTCTAGTAAAGTATATTATGGCTTTTGGTTTGTTAATGATTGATACACAAGTCAATGATGTTTTGATTAATTGTTTTTTTTCGGTTGGGGTTTGGTAAATTAACTTATTATGAATATTTGGTATTTATGTTTCGTATATAACAATATGCTTATTTTATTTTTGAGTACGTATGTGATTTTTTGTCTCAAATTTTCTTGTCCCTATGTTCCAAAACATTCATAGTTTGATTATATCTTCAGATTTCTATATTTCAAAATTCTTACATCATCTAATAATTGTACGTTCTTTGAGACAAGCCTCATAATAACAATTTAGCCTATTTTGCTATAGCCATTGGTGCATGTTAATCAAAATGACAAATCACATTAATACTCCTTGCTTTGTATCTCATGTCAATTTTGGTCTATAGTTTTAAGTGTAACAAATTTGTTATTTAATTTTGCATATTTGTATTTAATTACTTCAATCAATAATAGCCATTAGACATTCTATGCCAAAATTGACTTGTTTGGCCATTTCACACATGGCATAAAGGGAAATAATTTTTTTCACCTTTACCAAAAATTCCTTTCTACACCCATTATCCATAGCACAAGAGTTTTTTTTTTTGTTTTTTGATAAGGTATAAGGGCGTCATTGCATAAAGTGGATGTAGATAGAAATAATTAGGGTGTATTTGGATGGTTTTTCAACCTTAGCATTATTCTCTCTTCTTTGCTCTGTTTATCTTCTTGCTCTTCTCTTTGTATCTTTATCTAACAAACTCAGGACCTCCATGGCCATTGCCACTTTAACTCACCACCACCATCACCCCAATATGCATCCGCCATACTTCCCTCTCTACTTGATGTAGTTCAAATTGTAGTTGAATTAGTTAGTGTACAACTATGCTTGTTTATTCTGTATATCCTCATGCCTATATATAGGTGTTTAAACTTCTTATAGTTTTTTTGCAAGATCAATGATAATGCTTACCAAGTCCAGTTGCCTTCCCATTGACTATGTCTAATATTTTCAATGTGCAAAACCTTGTACCTTAATTTATGAGTTATTCTTGAGGACAAGTTCTTTTAAGAGAGGAAGTGCTGATGTAGTTGAAATGGAGTTGAACTAGTTTACAACTGTGCTTGTTTAGTGCGGTATATCTCATGCCAATAAATAAATGTTTAGACTTCTAATAATAATAATAATTTTTTTTTACCCAAGATTTGGGATTCTATCTAATATATTGAAATTCTAGATTTGATAGATCACTTTCTCTTTCTCTTGTTCATTTCATTCCCGCACTAACCAATCCCAAATTTCTCGATGTTCTTGCAATGACAAACGCTAGATCAGAGGAGCCTTTGCCACCATGCATTCCTAATTTTTCACACAATGCTTATGCTGATCATAAAACACCAATCAATTTTGGATTCGGCCGCCGATAAGGCCTTCACTTACAGTTTAAACATATAAGCATGAACAGATAATCATACAGTCAAACAGATAGAATGCAATTTAACTAACATATACTCAATCAATTCGGTTTCCAATTTCAGTCAGTCAGTTCAGTACTTTAATCAGTTCAATTATCAGTCATAATCAATTCAGTTTAACGGTAATCGATGGTTATCGGTAATCAATCAGTCATAAGTCGGTAAACAGTATGAGGGTT